TGTTTGTTTTGTTTCCTAATTAAGTGTGGAAATTATAATTGACAGCGCCGACAAATGAATATATACACAAACAAATGTTCGGTTATGGTTAAAACAATTCAATTTTTTGTATTGAATGTTCGGGAGTTGATCACAAATTGATCCAGATTTCTATCAGCATCAAATCGATGTTGAATTTGCTTAACTTTTCTTTATCCAAATATGTAATGCAAAATAAAAGAAATCTCGATCGGCGATCACTGAAACGTAGCTAGCAACTGTATACTCGAAAAAGCAATGTTGCCACTTTTTCTCTTTAAACCATGTTCGAATCGTGGAAATTTTGGAAGATCACAGGGTTGCTTTTAGCATTTAGATTCTTAATGCAAAAATGGAGTTGCATTTAGTTGCATTTAGGTGACGAATTTTGTATGGATAAATGTACATTTAGAGTAGCATTTAGAGCTAAATGAACTAAATGTGCTTTTACGCATAAGCAAAAACAGCCCATAAGTCGAAACTTGTCTAAGTCACAACTAAAGGCCGGTCCACATAGAACTTTCGCGTTGGCTTTGGCGTTGGCGTTGGTTTGACAGAACGCACGTTTAAGTGAGCTTGCTACAAAAAACGCTTGGCAGACAGATAAATTAATATTTCATATCAATAGTTGCGTTAAAAACGATATTTCTTGCCCGCTCTTGAATAAAAAGGAACAATATTTCACATAATTTTATTTATTTGCAACAGATGATAAGCGACGTAAGCGAAAAGTTGAGAGTTGGCCATCTTTTTGCTTTGTGTTGGCGTGAGCGTTGTCGAATTTTGGCTATGTGGACGGCTGCATTTGAATTCATGTATTCATAGTCAGCTGTTGAAGCAACGCCAAAGTTCTATGTGGACGGGCCTTAAAGCTATTCATAGTTGCCTTAGCTTCGACTTTTCTGGCTAAGACCAACTTAAAATTTAGTTTCGGCTGAAGCTGCAACTAAGTCCTAACTAGGAAGAAGTATTTTATCAAATTAAGGGAAAACAGACGAAATATGTAAAAATTGAGTTGGTAGAGGGTGATTTTGATATTGAATAATCTCATGAACGAAAGACACAAGATCACGTAAGAACAAGAGAGTGAAGGAAGTCGATTTTTTAGCGGGTTCTACGCCATCTTGTTTCACTGGAAAACGAGCGAAAAGTAAACAAAGCAAAGAAAACAACGAAAACCAAAATTAGCCAAAATTATTGTCAGCCACTTTAAACGCACAATTTAGGTAAAATGATGCAACAAAATGCTTTAAAATTTGTTGTCATGTTGAATTAACTCTTCTTTACTTGAATAAATGTGTAAAATAGTGGTGCTTGAGATGTAAACAAACGCTCAGCTGACGAACCCGCTTTCGCAAACTTTTTTCTTAAAACCACTTACAAATACAGCGTCGCGTTGTTACGTGATCTTGTATTTTTGGTTCATAGAATAATCTCCAATTAAAATTTACAAAGATCGATCCGTTTTAATCGGAAGATGAAATTAAATGCGCATTACAATTCGAATAAAGCTACATCATAATTCTATAATTGGAATAATTTAGATAAATTCTCAAATAATAAGTCAGTTTCACGCTAGTTCTTTTAAAGTAAATTTATGCACAACATTTTAGCTGAAATTAGTCAAGAACGTAAACCTACTGGTACCTAAACCCGAGTCAGCTGACACGATCTGTCTTACCAGAGCGTCATGTAAATGTAAAGTCAACACCGCAGAATTTTTTTGTAGTTGTAGCCCGTAGCGCAGAAATCTGCGGAATTTAGATTTTTCCGTGTCAGCTGATTTCTTCCCTCTATAGATGGTTGCCACTTCGTCAGTTTTGCAGATGGTAAAAAAATTATAAGTTCCTATTAAAAATACGTTTAAAATATTTGAAATTTACTATTGAATAAAGTTTTATGTTGAAAACTAAGTAGTTTATATTTAGCTACAATCTATTATAGCACGAAAAATTGCAGTTGAAAAGTTAAGTTTATGAAAAGGCATTGATGAATGGCAACACTGTAGTAAGCAACACTGAGGGCTCCAGTAATCGACAAAATTCTGCGTATACAGACTGCGCTTAAGTATACGTTCTGCGTTCTTGACTAATTGCAGCTTTAGATATCTACTATTTGTATGTTTCACAGCATGCTTTCGATAAACATCGACTTCAAATCACTGCGGTTGTTCTGGCTATTTCACACAATTAACAAGAAAATGATACCTTATTCTTTTGCATAATCATGCAATGAAAATAAAAATTACATAAACGGATGATCAAACTTGACATTATTTAATAAAAATGTAATTTTTCCAAAATATCGTAAAGAAAAATCGATACATTTTCACACTCGTTTTGCTATATCGTAAACTAAGTCGAAACTACTTAGTAGAAGTCTGAAATGCGACTATGAATAGAGGTAAATTTTAAGTTGGTACTTAAATTTAAGTTGCAGCTTTGTTAGTTTCGACTTAGTTGCTGGACTATGAATACGCGCCGATGTTTTTTTACCCAAAATCGATGTTTTTGTCAAATTTAAACTCCCTGCAAAAAACGGCTGACCATATCGGAAACAACCTATCGATTGTAGGCTCGCATACATATGTACATAAATACATACATCAAAGAAAATTTTACTTCACTTGTTAGCTGTGGTGCCAAATAAAGAAGAGATCGGTGAATTTAAAGAAAGAATTAATCAAAATCCGTATATTCTATTTGTATATAAAAAAAGAGCAAAAAAAAAATATTTTTTAGCGATATGTGGATAGAGAAGAAAACATTTTAGGCCAGTGCGCTTATGCTGACTGTGGAGTCAGTGACTATAGTGCTGAAATACAGTGCAACGCCAACGTGGGACNTAATTCTATAATTGGAATAATTTAGATAAATTCTCAAATAATAAGTCAGTTTCACGCTAGTTCTTTTAAAGTAAATTTATGCACAACATTTTAGCTGAAATTAGTCAAGAACGTAAACCTACTGGTACCTAAACCCGAGTCAGCTGACACGATCTGTCTTACCAGAGCGTCATGTAAATGTAAAGTCAACACCGCAGAATTTTTTTGTAGTTGTAGCCCGTANCGTCAGAAAAATCACTAATTATGCGATATTTTCCCAATAGTTTCATCGCTAAACCACTGGTACATCACCAGCTAGATGACATGTGTGAGCGAGTGAACATACTGTAAGGCAAATGCGCCCGTGTGTGTGCAGGAAAGGTATGCACTATCACACGCCCGGAGAAGTGGTCACTTTTTTCCCTAAGCACATACAAAACTAACCGCTAAACTGACGAAAAGTTTTAGGCAGTTTTCCCAATAATTTAACCAATAATCATAGGTCAGGCTTCTTGCAGGGCTAGAGCTGCAAAAGTATCGATATTCGTCGTACTCGATATTTTCGATATTTAAGAGACGAAAACTCGATATATATCGAATATATCGTTAATTTTTAATTCTACAATGAAACACTGAAAAATCGTTTAGGGCCGTTTGCACCATGTCTAGTTAACGCTAACTGGAGGTACATCCTTCAGTTAAGCACGTTAACTGCTTTATCGATCACATGTTATATGATGGGTGTCGATAACGTCGATAAAGATGTTTAACTGGGAGTTAGAATTAACTAGACATGGTGCAAACGGCCCTAAGACATCCAAAAAATGCATAGAACCATTTACCAACAGAAAATTTTATTATACTTATATATGAGGTACATCTGTATCAAGAATGATAGAACACAAGATTGCGCCGTCCTGGGCGTTGACATTTGTGTACCACAAGTAAACAAAGAATAGAGCGAAAAGAAGAACGAGTTGAAACTGCCAAAGCAGTTCACTTTACAGCGAAAAACGTGTTTTAATTTTGTTAAATGCGAAAATATTGCATTTTTCACCTAATATATTAAAGCACAGTGAACATTTTAGTGCACTCCATTGCTTTGCAATTGAGGCTGCATCAGCAAACGTTTTAGTGTACTCCATTGCTTTGCAATTAAGGCTGCTGCAGAAAACTACTGCAGCATCTCTGCGGGAGTGATTAGTTAACTTGCTAATGGAGGCTGCGTGGAGCAGAAACACAGGTATTGTGAGGAAA